TCCCAGCACCCACCGTACAGCAGGGTCAGATAGACAGGGAGGCACACAGATGTTATACAGCACTTGTGGATGGGATGGGATGAAAAAAGAAGAAGGGAAGGGAAGGGAAGGGAAGGGAAGGGAAGGGAAGGGAAGGGAAGGGAAGGGAAGGGAAGGGAAGGGAAGGGAATATTTCAAGTTAGAAGAGACCACAAGGAACATAGAATCCAGGAGATGAGATCCTGAGGTTGCCCACCCACTGCCCCAAGGCAGAGGCAACCTGTCTGCAGGTTTTTGCTATCTCCACTGCAGGCATCTCCCATCTCCTCTTACTGTTCTCGTCCCTAAGCTCAGAAGTTTTCAACATTAGTTCTATGTCCCTGCTGTTTTGGTGAGCATTGCCCTTCCTAGAACTGGAGGAGAAGCGATGCTCCATTGAGCACATGGGAAAGGTCTGGTTGAGACCCAAGGAAACCAAATCATTGGAGGAAAATGAGGCATGTGGGAAAGCTCATCACTTCTCTTGCATCTCCCATGGGGTCACACGGGGAGCTCTGGTGCTCAGCAAAGCCAGCTTTCCATCGGCATCACAGAGAAAGGACTTTTGGAGCCCTGCAGCAGCTCAGTCTCGTGGTGTTTGGAAGGACTTAACGATGCAGGGACGCAGCTGGGTCCCCTCAGCCAGCTCAGGGGGATGCAGTGGTTCAGCTGATGCCTTGATAAAGGCCCAGCCCTGGGGAGGGACATGGGGGTTATACACAGACGAGTGTGGGGAGCACAAGGCAGGCTTGGGAGCAGGACAGATTCCTTCCCAGAGCTGAAAGCACTCGCGCCTGGCTCGAAGGAGGCTATTGATTTCCTTTCTGCTCACTAATTTGGCTTGTCCTGTCCTTTTTGTTTGTGCAAGCCAAAGAAAGAGGCTGTGAGAGCCTTTTAGCTGGAGTGGCCGGAGCTGCCGCTCGCCCCGCGCCGCGGCTCCATTAGCAATCCTGCAGCAGCCTGCCATGAAATATTCACAACCTCAATGGGCTCCAAAGACCTCAAGAACTGAACTTCTACACCGTGTTTCGGTCGGGCAAAATGACTTTTTGTTTTCAATGAACAGCTCCCAGGCAATGAGGTTTTTGCTGGTTCCGCTCCAGGCTGAGCGAGAGTTTGGGAGACAGCGATGCTGCAACGCAACAGCCTTCATCAAACAAACATTCAGGATGGAACCTGGAGTTATTTTCTTTAACTAATCACATATTTTTAATATGGGGAACGTCACAGAGGGAGAATGTATGTAATTTTATCTTTGCAGGTTGGTAATATTAGCTAAGTTCCCTTTGGCCATGCTTTGCCAAGGGCCAATAGATCTTCCCAGGGATCAGGAGCTCTTTGCAGGATCAGGAGACCTTCCCATGGACCCAGCTGCCCCAGGACATGGCCCCATGACCACAAGATCTCCTGCTCCTCCTTTCCCCTTATGACCATGTCACTGTTGTATTTTGGGGCTCACCAGCAGCACAAGCTATGCAAGAGCAAAGCAGCTTTGTCACCTTGTTCTCTGGCTGCCTCCATTTGCAGACTCTGTTCCATCACAATGTGGTCACCACCATCTGTCAGTGTGTCCTTTTGCCACTGCACACCAATGCCTGGCCATGCAGCCATGCTTGCACCCTCTGCTGATGCATGCAGCAGGAAGGGGGTGGGATGCTTTCTCTGGAGGGTGAGCCATGTGGCATTGTCACAGCTCCTACAATGTCACAGGTTCCTCCCCATGGAGGCTCAGACGGAGGCAGGAGCACAGTTTGCTCAGGATCCTGGGAGTGCAGCAATGCTCATGAACGCATCCAAGCCACGGTCTTGATTCTTCCTCACTGCATGACTGCTGGCATCCCTCAGAGCCCCACTGGCCTTGCAGAAGGCGTCCCCAGGAAGGTCACCATGGAGATATGCCATTGTCACATTGCAACATGCTGATGGTGTTTCTGGTTTTGGAGGGGGGCTGGTGGAGGATGGATATTTTATTGTTTTGTAGCATCATAGAATATCCCAAATTGGGGGGGACAAAGGTCCAACTCCTGCCTCCGCACCCAAAATCCACCCCCTATGTCTGAGAGTGTTGTCTGAATGTGAAGCAGCTCTGTTTCTGCTGGGCACTGAGCACCAGATCACTGGGCATCCCCACACCCAGCACAGGAATGGTTCAGCTCAGAAGAAAGGACGGGGTAAGTTTTCCACTTAAGAAAGGTATCAATTCCATTTGGATAACAGAAAGAATCCAGTGGGAATATATATATATATTAATGATAATAGTAATGCAAAGGTGTCAGCCATTGAAACACATGTAAATCAGACAAGTAGGTGCAGTGTATTGACTTGCTGCGTCCTCCGAAGCGCTGAGTTACATCTCGAGTTGTCAGCGTGGCAGAGGGAGGCGGGTGCAGACGTACACATTATAATAATAGCTCCACAATTAGGGTAGTAAATCAGAGAGCATCACTCAATTCAGAGAGGTTTCCTCCGTTTGCTACAGGCAGGATTGGAGCTCTTTGTAAGGAGATGGTTCTGCTGATACGAAAAACCCCACTGGTTGTGCAAAGCCTTGGCAAGGCAGCAGTGGGAAGAGCAGCTTAGAAATTCAGCTGCACTTGAATCGCTCAGTTTCTACACATTGCATAAGTATCAGCCTTGGGCATCTCGTTGTTTGGATTCTGCCCACCCTGCTATGGCAGATCTATCTCAGAAAAGGCTGAAACAACACAGGCAACAATAAAAACCTTTCTTCCCGAGTAGCCTCACACCCAGAGGAATGCATGCAATAAGGAAACCCCATGTGTGTGAGCCCCACTTTGCCATGGAAATTCATGTTCAGCTTTAGGATGCAGCTGAGGCTCAGGGAAATACGGGTTAACCCCTCCATGCCCCCACACCTCCCAGGGCATCACCCTCACCACTGATTTTATTGGGCTTCCAGGGTGAGCCACGCGATCTCCTCCAGCAGCAGCAGCACCTCACAGCCTGACTGCTGCATATGGGAGCTGAAATGCTTCCATCACCTCCTCCAGTGTTTGTGTTTGTTGGATGCTGCTGCCCTGCAGTCCTCATGACTGCCTCAGTGCACTCCTTGGATGGTCATAGCAGAGCAGTCCAAAACTGAGCCAAAGCCTTGCGTGCCAGCTTTGTTGTTTGCCCTCCATTTGGGTTGGGGAGATGCCTCCTCGTGCAGGGAGGAGGTCTGCAAATGCAAGCTGATATAAAATGACTGCTCTAGGCATGATGGAGAAGAGAAGAGGGGATGAATTTTCCTGGTGTGGATGCATTGCTCACCTCACATTGTGTCCGGCTGGGCTGGAGCCTATTGGGCAGCACAGCATCCTCACCCCAACCATTGGCATCGTGGCCCACAGGAGCCTGATCCTGCCCCATTGCCTCCCCCAAAGCCATGCAGAGCTGCTGCCACCCATGCAGATCCAGGCTCCAACACAAACATGCTCCACTCAGAGCCGCCCGCTAAAGCAGCAGCATCGTGCATCCAGGGATATGATTATTTCCCAGTGGTTGAAATCTAGGTCTCTTGCTTAGGAGAAGGGAGGGGGGGTGGGGGGGGCAGAGATGCTCATATTAATCTTATGAATATTCATTGAGAAGCTCTGTTGCCTTCGGAGCTTTGCTCCCAGGAGCCCGGGGCGAGTTTCGGGGCCAGCAGCGCAGGTGAGGGTGCTGCCAGCAGAGCGGAGCGCGGCTGTTTGTGCATTCGCTGCATGCCTGACTGCAGAGCCAATTGTAAGTTGGTGCCTTTTTCTCCCCCCCTTCCCCCTCCCCGCTTCCTCCCCGCTGTCTCTGCTGAAATAGCGGCTTGCCACAAGCTGTGAAATGGAGGCTTGGCGTGGTTTGGGTTGGTTTTTTTTTTTTTTTCGGTTGCAAAAGGGAAAGCAAACGCCTCGACCTTGTCCTCGAGGCTCTCTGCTGCCCGAAATCTCAGCGCTCTGACAGACGGCCATGGCTCGTGCCTGCAGCGAGCCTGCCTTGTGCATGCAGCGACAAACCGGGCTCTTGTGGCTGATCTCCTTCGCCTCCTTTCCTGCCCCTGCAGCCCCCAGATTTGCATGAACGGAACCCAAAGATGGGGTGGGGGTGGGAGGGGGTCCTTTGAACAGGACAACGTGTGGTAGGGAGAAAGTAGCAGAAAACAAGTGCTGGAATCTGTGATGTCAACTCAGATGATGCCATAACCGTCTCAAATCAGCACCAGCATCACCGCTTCGGTCTGGGCTCAGAGAGAGGAGCCAAGACTTCACGCTAAATGATAATCAACATGTTAAATAATGAGCAAATATCCGCACTGCTGAGCAAACCTGGGGTGTTTGGGGCAGGGAGGGAGGGGAGGAGGGAGTTTAAGGGCAGGAGAAGAAATGCATGTTAAAAAAAATCATCAAGGTTGGTTGATTTAGGGGGAAGTGGGGGCTCACGTTGTGGCTGCAGCAGATAGCTGGTGGTCATGGCATTCTGCTGTGATGCTCACAGGAGCCAAAGAAGGGTAAACCCAGCAGAGCTCTGGAGTGGGGCTGCAGGGAGAAAATGCAGAAAAAGGAGAAAAACTGGGACAAATGCAACCTCCTCTTCTCTGGGCCTGGTAGAAAAGGGTTAAGCGAAGCCGTTGGATGCTGCAAGCCTTGTCAGGGTTGTACTATTTTTTCTAGTGCATAAGGAGAAGGGAGAGGAGGGTTGCACGGGAAGGGGAAATTTCCAAGAAAAGAGGGATCTGCAGCAATATCTGCACCCGAGGTGATGAAGAGAGAAACCAACGGGCATATATGGCCTGCAGGAGGCTGAAATCTTTACCAAGGAGGCTCAGACCGCGGGGTTATTTTCCACCTGCCTCCCCTTCCCGGTTCTGTAATCCTGGCTCAAAGTAGACAAGTCGAGTTGCAGCCGAAGAAGGGAGGTTAGAGGAATTATTATTATTATTATTATTTTCCTTCGGGAGGGCAAAAAAAAAAAAAAGAAAAGAAAAGAAAAAGAAAGGGGGGGGAAAGGAGAGTTTGGATGGACCGCTCCGGCTCGAGCATCCCGTGGGGCGGTGCGGGGCGATCTGATGGAGGAGCAGAGGCTGATGCAGGGATCCGAGCCCCCCCAGCGTCCCCCTGAGAAGTGCAGCCCCACCAGAGCGGAATTCCCACGGGGGGGTGGGTCGGCTGGAGGTTGGCTTTGGGGAGGATGGGGAGGGTGGGTGCGGGTCGCGCGGGTCTCACGGCCGGGGATGCTCAGGGGGCAGCACGGAGGAGGGGACGCCGACCAGAGCTTCGTCTCACCGATGAAAACGGAGCCCCCCGAGCCATCCGCGGAGGCAGCGCGGTGCCGTAGGGACCGCCGTCCCCGGGGCGTTCGGTGCGGCGCCGCAGAGCATCGCTGTGCCGGGGGTTGCGGCGCTCCCCCTCCGCCCGCCGCCTCCTCCCCTCGCTGCCATCGGGCTGCCCGGCCCCACCGCCCGGAGCGGAGAGGAGAGGAGAGGGACACGGTTCTGTTTTTTTCCGCTCTCCCTTCGGCTCGTGTTGCAGTGCAGGTTAGCGAAGCGTCGGGATAACAGCCGGCGGGGAGGAAGCGGAGCTGCCCGGAGGAAGCGGGGCTTTGCGGACGCTGCCTCCAAACCCCCGGCGGCTTTTCTACCTTCTCGCTGTTTTTTCCAGGCGATGCCACACCTCCCGAGGACACCGGGGACATCGGGTTTTGCTGAGCTTAGCATCTTCCCCCCGCCGTACCGGAGGCATCAGACAGACGCTGCTCTGCCCTGAAGTGAGGACCTGCAACAGCTCCGGGAGGACTTCTGTCCCTCTGTCTCTTTCTCTCTCTCTTTCTCTCCAGTCCAAACCATTCCAAGACCCGACTTCCACCATCTGGAAATCTCACCCCTTTTATGTCCCTTCTCCTTTTCTACGATGACTCACCATTATTTTTAACTTTGAAGAGAGAGGAAATTATGGGGATCTTGGAAGCCTGTATTCCTCTCTAGGATTTCCCCAGGGTCAGATAATCGGTCTTACTAAGAGACACTAAGATTTGGCTTCTCCAGGTAATGTGATTTGTTTTCTGTGTGCCATGGCGCTTTGCAGAGAATGAGAGCAGCCGGGACACCAGCGGTCGAGGAGGGGGACTGCAGTGGTCCGCGGGCAGCTTGCACCCAAATTCAGGCAGCAGAGCCCAGCTCGGGGCGGGCAGAGCAGCACCCGCAGCCCTATGGCCGGGGCAGGAGGATGGGGACGGTGCCGAAGTTAAAGCGGAGCCGTTAGGGTTACCTGGAGGGTCGTGCCGGATTGCCTGCTGTAGAACCGTAGAATAATCTATGCACGGTTGAATGTTAACCCTTAAATGCATGCCTGGAAATGAGCCGAGCCCGCGCTGCCCGGCGGGTCCCCTCCCCTCTGTAGGGCTGAATGGGGTTTTGCTTCCTTTCTCTTCCCTTCCCCCTCCTGGTTTTTTCCCCCCTCTTTCGAATTTTTCTTTTTAGCCGTAAAACCCAAAATGTTCTGTTTGGCCAACGCCGGTTCTGCCGTGCCGGTTGTGAATAGATGAGGGTTCCTCAGGTGTTTTCTCCCTTCTGCCTAACGGGTTTAGATGGGAGTTTTGAACTCTGATTAACTCAGATTAACCCCCCGAGGACGGCGGTAGGCAATGGTAGCGCAGGGAGCCGCTCTCCTCCCCCCAACTTTACTTCATCTCTCTCTTTCTCAGCAGGGGCAATTTTCTTTCCTTTTTTGTTTTCTCCTATTTTATCATCCCTTCGCCTTTTCATGAGACACTTCCACACCTACGTACCTGTCCTTCTGCAGGATAGTAGCCTTGCCCTGAGTCCGATCCCACCACCGGGCACTCGGAAGAGTTTAGCATAAGGATTTCCTTTCAACCCCAATATGACAGTTGCTACCGGAGATCCTGCAGACGAAGCTGCAGCTCTTCCAGGTCACCCACAGGACACGTACAACCCCGAGACCGACCATGAATGCTGCGAGAGGGTGGTCATCAACATCTCGGGGCTGCGCTTTGAGACTCAGCTCAAGACGTTAGCTCAATTTCCGGAGACTTTGCTAGGAGATCCTAAAAAAAGAATGAGATATTTCGACCCTCTCCGGAATGAGTATTTCTTTGACCGGAACAGACCCAGCTTCGATGCGATTTTGTACTATTACCAATCTGGAGGGAGGTTGCGGAGGCCGGTTAATGTGCCCTTGGACATCTTCTCAGAGGAGATCCGTTTCTATGAACTGGGGGAAGAAGCCATGGAGATGTTTCGGGAGGACGAAGGCTACATCAAAGAAGAAGAGAGACCGCTGCCGGAGAATGAGTTTCAGAGACAGGTCTGGTTGCTCTTCGAGTACCCCGAGAGCTCGGGCCCTGCCAGGATTATAGCTATTGTCTCTGTCATGGTGATTTTGATCTCCATCGTGAGCTTTTGCCTGGAAACGTTGCCCATTTTTCGGGATGAGAATGAAGACATGCACGGCAGCGGGCTGAGCCACCCTCCCTACTCCAACAGCAGCATGGGGTACCAGCAGTCCACCTCTTTCACAGATCCCTTCTTCATCGTGGAGACGCTTTGCATCATCTGGTTCTCCTTCGAGTTCTTGGTGAGGTTTTTCGCCTGTCCCAGCAAGGCTGGATTTTTTACCAACATCATGAACATTATAGACATTGTAGCCATCATCCCCTACTTCATCACCTTAGGGACAGAGCTGGCCGAGAAGCCGGAGGACGGCCAGCAAGGCCAGCAAGCCATGTCCTTGGCCATCCTCCGAGTCATCCGCTTGGTGCGGGTCTTCCGGATCTTCAAGCTGTCCCGGCACTCCAAGGGGCTGCAGATCCTGGGGCAGACCCTCAAGGCCAGCATGCGGGAGCTGGGCTTGCTCATCTTCTTCCTCTTCATCGGCGTCATCCTCTTCTCCAGCGCCGTCTACTTCGCCGAGGCCGACGAGAGCGAGTCCCAATTCCCGAGCATCCCCGACGCCTTCTGGTGGGCCGTGGTTTCCATGACGACTGTTGGCTATGGAGACATGGTCCCCACCACCATCGGGGGGAAAATCGTGGGGTCTCTGTGTGCCATCGCTGGCGTATTAACCATTGCCTTACCCGTGCCCGTCATAGTGTCTAACTTCAACTACTTCTACCACCGGGAGACGGAGGGAGAGGAGCAGGCGCAATATTTGCAAGTAACCAGCTGCCCAAAGATCCCCTCTTCCCCTGACCTAAAGAAAAGCAGAAGTGCCTCTACCATTAGTAAGTCTGATTATATGGAGATTCAGGAAGGCGTAAACAATAGCAATGAGGATTTTAGGGAGGAGAACTTGAAGACAGCCAATTGCACCCTAGCTAACACAAACTATGTGAATATCACCAAAATGCTAACCGATGTCTAGTCGCTAAAACCTAGTACCGTATTTAAAGCTGAAGTGGAACAATTGCAGATATTGAGTGCTGCTCTGCATTGTAGTTAACACAGTATTTTCTACGGTGTATATTTGGTTCTGCATGGGAAGCAATAGCCGTGTAAGTGACTTTTAACCTTTGATTTCCACACTGAATAACGTGCAAGCAAACAAAACCGAACCATTTTGTTTCCCTTCTGCCATCCCAGGCTCGCTGGTTCCCAAAGGTGCGGAGCGGTCCGAGCACCGTGCCATTAGCAGGGATGCAGGGATGCTCACTGGCACGGCCCCGTCCCCAGAGCCAGGTCACCAGCTTGGGGCTGGGGAAGGTCAGGCAGGGCTGGTTGGCTTGTTGGAGGGCTCAGGTTTCCACCTCAGCAGTGCCAAGCCGAACGCATCGCCCCGGCTCGCGTTTCATAACGGAAAATGCTGCATGCTGCAATAGTTTGAGCCACTGCAGTATGCCAGTGAGAGGCCCAGGGGAGGGATAATTAGTCTGGCGGCACATTATTTATTAAGTCTTAAGTTTTCTATGCTAGGCACCGGGAGGGACGAGTAAACAAATCAAACGCTTGGATTTTATTGATTTATTCAGATGATACTTCCATCCACCACTATTTCCAGGATCACCAAAGACACCTCCACTGACACATTGAAAATGAGTTGGGAAAAAAGCATCTTTTTTTTTTTTTTTTATATATCTATATATAAAACTGGAGCAACTATGCTGTGGCCTACAATATATTTATACTGCAGTGAAATTTAACCAGTAATACAGTACAGCTGCATGGGTATCTGTTGCATGAATCTGAATATTTAATACACACACAAATATATATTTTCTTAGTAGACTATACAGTATTTATGTTTATAGTGTTTATAGATTCTCCAGTGGCTCGGAGGAGATTTGTGGGGGCTAAAATCTCTCTAATATGTTTAGAAATGGGATGGGGATGGCACGTGCTGACAACAGCTTGATAGATAACAAGGCAAAGCCTGAGTGCCCCAGCACCCAGCCCCAGGAGCTGGCTCCATGGAAGGTGAGCTGAAAGTTAAACACCTGCGCTCATTATGGGGCGAGTAATTAGTCATTAATCTCGGTGTCAGGAGCAGAAAGCACAGCTGATCGGGCAGGGCTGGGGGAGCAGGTGGAATGGCAGGTATGGGCTCTCTGGATTTGTTTGGTCAGCAGTTTTCAGCCATTTCCCATACGACTATTGTGTGTGTGTATAGATATTTAGAGAACGACTATAGGACCGAATTCTCAGCTAATGTGAGCTATTGGAGCCTCGGGGCTTCCTGGCTCAGGGGCCACAGACATGAGCTGTCCTGGGGTGTGTTCTGGGCTGGAAAACCCTGATTTCAATCCTGTTGAGCCCTCGGGCTGTTGGTTTTTCCTGTATGGTGGACTGGATCCAAGCTTGTGCTTCCAAGCCGTTGCTTTTGCTTTGCCTTCTCCCAGGGTGTATTTGAGGGCTGTGTCGGGATGCAGACACCTCAGAATCATCCCCATTTCTTCTCCATTTCGGGTGTAATCTGGGGAGAGTTGGAGCTGTCTGTTCTGGGGTTTCATCTGCTTTGCCCATCCCACTTGGATTTCCTTGTCTTTCCCCCCATTGCTATCAAAGCCCGGGATGGGCTGGGCCAAGGGACCCCTGTGAGGTCATGGTTGAGCAAAGCCCCCAGCTGAAGGCATTTAGCAGCTCCTCCAATTGGGGTGAATTGGGGCTGAATTTGGGCTCGATCAGCGCTTTGCTGCCGCTGAGTGCAGGTGTGGGAGGGAAACCCGTGGCAGATGATGGGAGTGAGGTCAGCTGGACCTTCCTGGCCTCCCATGGGAAAAAAATATTCACAACAATACAACAAACGGTGCTAGCGTATTCTACAGCAATGGTTCCAAATGCTGCTCGGGGCTGGATCCATCCCTCGTGTTGACCCAGCTCAGCCAGGTGGGATCTCTCATCTTTAATAAGTGATTGATTCAGGCCTAGCTCTAATCACCCCGGGTGCTGAGCACCACGCAGGGTTGGGTGCCTGCCCGAAATCACATCTTGTTGCATTGGGAACCCTCTCCTCCTCTTTGCTGCTACAGCTCTGGAACGGGCATCTCCGAAGCTCACCAACACCTGCAACACACACAACGAGAATCAACGCAACTGAAAGCAATAAATCTCTTTCTGAAGCTTGAATGGGATGGCAGAGGTGTGATTCCCAGGTGGCTGCTGCCCAGCCTCCATTGATCCAGCTTGCTGCATGTCTATGGGGATGCGACTGCCCAGCCGTGGGTGCCTGAGCACTGGGATGACCCCAACTTTGCTGTGCAGGAAAGCACCAGTGCTCAGGGTGGGCTGCTATGGGCGATTTGGGAAGATGCTGACTTTGCAAAGTGCCTGGTTGCTCATATCCTGCGAGCTTCAGGCCATTCACCTCCTGGCATCTCTGGCCACAGATGGATCCTGCTCCTTGTGCGCTCACTCAGGCAGATTCTAATGGGGAAAAACAGCCCTGGAAGGAGGGCATCTCTATGGTGACCCTTGCAGCTTGTTTGCAGAGCAGAAAGGACCCAGATGTGCGCTCAGATGGGTTTTTCAGGGCAGGAAAGGTCTGTGGGGGTCAGAAGCCACCCATCGGGCTGCATGAAGCAGAAGTCTGGATTTCTCCCGCGCACAGAGAAATGGTTTTCCTATAGCTTTTAATGGGATTTGTGCCTGCAGGTCGGAGCTCTAGTGCTATTTTGAGCTTTGCTTCTGACTCACTGATGTGATCTTGAACCAGTTTTCAGGAGGAGACTGTGATTTTTTTCTTTCTTTCTTTCTTTTTTTCTTGAGGAATTTGGTTTGAGAGCCTCCAGGCCCCTGCGGAGATGCTGAGCATCCCAAGCTCAGCTTCAGTGGGTACAAAATTGGGATGTGAAATGGCTCAGATGGAGGATGCCATAGCACAGTGGTTGGGTCTCTCTTCCCTCCTCTCATGGAGTCATTGGCCATGGGTGGGACGGAGAACCAACGCTCTCCACTCTATGTCTGCTCCTACTGTGGTACCCAGAGGAGGTAGGACCTGGATCCTGAGTTTTGCCCTTTGTGCCATGGTTTTGGAGATGAGAAGTGGTGATTTCTAACAGCCAGTGCACATCTAACTCTGTGAGCAACCAATCAACCCTTCAACATCCTCTGCAATATCTGCTAAGGGCAGTGAGGGGAGGCTCTTGTCTTGGCTGAGTGCTTTGGGAATGATGGGAGAAAATTAGCAATATGAGCTGATGAGTTTTTGTCAGGAAAAACCAATCTCTGCATCTTCTTGTTGTGTCAAAGCCCTATAAATCTGGATACTGAGCTATACCAAGAAAAGGATCTCTAGATTGGTGTTATGTGACTGTAGCATGTGGGTGTATAAATACGGGCATATTTGTGCATAAATACACAGAAGGAGAGAAAAAGACAGAGGAGGAGGAGGAGGTATTTCAGGAATGGCCTTGCTTTGTTATCACATAACTCCCAGGTCAGCGTTGAAATTGCTGCCAAAAGCTTGTGGGCTTTCTGGGTTCACAGTATCCCTAAGGATGGGCCCAAGGGAAGGAGATCTGGATTCAGCCTCAGAGGTGGCATCAGCTCTTATCATCCCTGCATGCATCCCAGCAGCTTTTCAGTATCTCTTCTCTGGAACCCAAATCCTCACCGTGGGTCCATTGCTGGTATGTTTGTGGTGGTGCAGCCAAAGCCAACCAGAAGTCGAAGGAGTTTGCTGGGCTGTGCTGGGTGGCTTTGCTGGGTTTGTCAGTAATGGTTGGGTTTTGGTTCCTTTGAATCATGCTGGGATTTTAGTCCCGGGGCTGAGGTGTGCTTCCCTTGGGTTTCGTACTCATGGGGGATCTCAGTGGTTTGTGTGGATCAGCAATCAGTGTTTTCTTTGGCCAGCATGCTGCATGGCTGGGGGGTGAAGAGAGGACGATCCAGCTCCAAATCGTTTGGGTTTGCAACCAAAAAAAAGTCTACAGCTCCCTCTTGATGCCCACGGGCAGCACCCAGCACACCGCCTCGTCCCTGCCATCAGGGTCTGGCAATGAGGGTCCTTGTAGCCATCCCTACCCCCACGGTCTTGGTCTCTTCCTGAAATGATGGATCTGGCTGCCCTTAGTCCACACCGTGCGTGGAGAGAGGAAAACCCCTCACCCTCATTCCTCGTTGGTGGGATGGTTGGCTTGGAGGAGCTGCTGGACATCAGTTGACCACAGCCCTGTCCCAGGGGCCATGCGTGTGTCAGATGTCAGACACCCTGCTGGTTGCTCTGGGCACGGGTTGGTTGGTTTTTGTTTTTATTTGATCATCCTTCTGTCGTGTATAAGACTGTAATTATCCGTTTGCACTTGCTCCCTCGTTGCTTGAGACTGCACTCTTGTCCTCCAATGTCACCTACTAATCGTTGCTGGAAGCGCAAGGGAAAAACAGGCGTTGGATCAAAGCTGTGCGTGGTGCCTCGTTTGAGTGAATCGATAGGAAGAGGAAATCCAAGAAGGACTCATCCTACCGATGCTGGAGCCGAACCTTGCGTTGCCGTGGTTACGGGAGAAATGGGACCAGGAATGGAGAGAGGCCTATAAAGTGGTAGAGGAGGACTCGTGGGAATTTCAAGTCATTTAACCATGCGTTTGCTAGGCAAAAACGTAGACACCAGCTGTATCTGAATTGCACAGTGTGTATAGATGTTCCTGCTCTCATTGACGGCACAGGGGTGTCCCTGGGGTCGGGCACATCCATGGGGTGGGACACCCACGTCAATAGGGCTGACCATTGTATATAGGTATACAGATCTGTGTACATACATATTCCAAATGAGCATTTGCTGTCTGGTTTATCATGAGTGTATATAATTTATTCTTCACAGAGTATCACAGATTTTGTAAATATCGACACTAATTAAGAGGAAATAAATATGTATATTATTGAGGAGCTATTTTGGTATCCATTCTGTGAAGGGGGGAGGGGGGAGGAACAAGCAAATGTATTTTGGGTAAGCTGGGTTATTGTGTGGATCTAAACCTTGAGAAATGAAGGGACTTCCCTTCTGTGTGGAGGCAGGAGTTGAACAGGATGGTCCTTATGGGTCCCTTCCAACTCAGGATATTCTGTGATGGAAAAATCCCTATGGGGTAAAGACCCATGGAAGGGGCTGAGCTGTGGGTTGGCGCTGTGCTTTGGGCTTTTAGCAAACCTCCAGCAAAGGGAGACTGCAATGGGGACTGAAATGCAAATATTTCATCCCAAACCTGCAGGTCCTCTCCCTGAAGGCTTTGGGATAAGTTCTCATAGGTAGGACCCCAGGCTGGGCTCAGACATTCCTATGCAGCCCCAAACCAGCCTACTTCCAGGTCTGTGCTTTCCTTCCTCTCACATCTCACTGGGACTCTCTGAGCTCCACTGCTGTCACTGTGGGATCTGCAAGCAGAGATTTGCTGTTTTTCACTTTTATGTACTGAGGAAACTTATTTTTTTCTTGCCGTGGTGACAACCCAGTCTCTAAAATGCATCCTACCCACGGCACGGCTTGTTTTTTAGCTAGAAAATCCGATTTCTTCTCCACGGAGATGTGAGTCAGGTCAGTGACACGGCTGCAGCCCCTGCCACGGATCAGCACTGCTGGTGGCATTGCTGAGAGCTGAGAAGGATTTGGCAGCAAACCCAGCAGAGCCAGCAACAAGTTGGAGCTCAGGACTTTGGCTTTCCCACGCTGCTTCCCACCTCAAGGCCTCCGTGGTCTTGGAGGAGGAGCAAAAACCCAAGGGCAACCTCAGGTGCAGTGCTTACATTTATCCACGCTGGTCAGACACACGTACCAGTGGCACTGGAGCTGTTTTTAACTCTTGCAGCCTTCCTGAGGCAGCTCCCTGCTGGATCCAAGAGCCTCAGGTCCCCGTTCTGGTGGTACAGAGCTGGGCTCACAGCTGGAATCATTTCTGCCACACAGGGGAAATCCTGTCCTGCTCTGTGCCTTGGTTTCCTCATTTATAACACAGCTCAGGACCTGCAAATTGCAAAGCTCAGCTCAGTGCTGGGGCAGAGCGAGTGCGTCACTGGATGGAAGAACTCATGGTTGGATCACTGAAGTAGGAAAGGAGGGCATTTAAATACAGGGGGAAAATAAAATGGAATGTGAAAAGGTAAGACAACAATTTACAAGTGAAATTGGCAGCATCCTCATTGCGGTGCTCCCTGTTGTGATGGTGGCATTTGGGTCACTCCATGCTCCTCAACCCCACTTCTGAGCCCAACAAACCCCAGCCCCCCCCAACTCCCATCTCAGTCTGGCTGATTCTGGGCTCATAAATATCCAAACAGCTCTTGGTGTGAGGGGGTTGCAGCAGAGTCTGCTCTGCACAGCACTCCTCAGGGATGGCAGGAGGAGGCGGTGAGGCGGATGCAGCAATTATTTTAAACTGCTGCTCTGCCAGCAACGCTGCAGCACCATGCCCATGCACGGAGGATGCTGATGATGTCAGGGCATGCATTGCCATGCTTGGGCTTTTACAGCCTTCCAAAGAGCAAAGGGTGGGGTGGAAGACCCACACGTCCGATGGAACCGATTGCTTGGTGCTGCCCCGACCTGCGTTCTTGCACTCCTTTTATTGAGCATTTCTTCTCCACCTCATGGATCTGCTCTGAATTAAAGGGGTCTTTGAGGCAGCAGCATGGCGTTGCTCTTCATCCTGGGGAGGACCCCAGCATGTGTGTTTGCTTTCTCCTCTTTGGAGTCTCAAGCCCTTGAAATCCTGCTTAGTGACACCAAGGAAGCAAATGACCCAGGTGCCAAGAAAGCTCTTGCACTGCTGCTTGCCCTGGGAAGCTCAGGTTGCTAAACCCCATTAAAGCCCATTGCACTCACCCCAGGGACGAGCAGGGATTTTTAGCTGCCCTATTACCAAACCTACTTCCATTTGGCCAAGCTGGGATCCTGAGAGCAGCTCCTGGAGTGGGGCTGCAGAAACCCATCAATAAAACGCTGACAGATGGGGAGAAGTTGGAAAGAGGGGAAGGGAACAAGGGACTCTGCCACCCTCCTGGCGATGCCCACCAGGAATTGCTGGGTGTGCAGGATGGTGCAGGATGACACCATCACTGCTGCAGTGCCTCGGGTTCTGGGTGACCTTTGCTGAGCTGCTGGGTGCAAAATCTGCAAGTGTGGGTGTGCGAAGAGGAGCCCCCGCAGCCTATCTTTAGTTAACCTCCAGGCAAAGGTTTGGAGCTTGAGATGCACGTTTATCCTGCAGCTCTGGAAATCAGGCCAGGTCCCTCTTTCTCCTTCCCACTTTCTCTTGCTCCTTCGTCTCCCTCCTTTGCATTTGTGCTGGGTGTTGAAAAGCCTATTCCTGGGAGCACTGCTCATCCACACCCCAGCACGAGGTACAGGGCAGGAGAAGGGGAGCTGCAGGCAGTGCCTGCAGGGCTGCTGTCTCCATGAGAGCAATATCTGGGTGAGCTAAAGAACCACAAATCTCCCCTTCTACACAATCACAGCTGAGACTGGTAGGGCCCTGGGTCTACAGTGCATGAGGGCAGACAAGATAATGAGGAGTGATGCAAGGAACAACAGACCCGAAACCAGAGCTGCCTGAATATTTGCCCCTTTCTCCTAGGATGCCTTGGTTTCATGGGGAAAGCAGCACCCAGCTGCAGTTCTCAGCCCAAGGTGCTGAGGATGTCACATTGCCACGGACCCCTCTGTGCTGGGGAGGTGCAAAAAGAACCATAGGGAAAGTGGCTGTGCTTTTAATCCTAAAGTGTAAGGGTGGGAGAAGGTGGGTCTGCGGTGCTTGGGAGATGGACTAAAGGCTCAGCAGCAGGCTTGTGCATTGCTGCCATAGGGGCAAAGCAGAATGAGAGCTCTCCCCAGCCCCAAGGAGTGTGGGAGATGGGATTGACCCAAGTCCCAATCACACGATGCTGTGCTGTGAGTCTTTGGGCAGCTGTTGGTTTGGGACTTACCGAGCTCTGTGACCCCAGGCACAGCTGCATGGTTTGCAGACAGACCCCAGGGCTGGCAGCAGCTTGGTGGGTTTGCTTTGCTGCTGCTTTAACACAGCTCTTGGATAGAACAGAACTGGTTGGAGGAGCTGGAAAGCCATGATCAGCCAGCGCCCTGCAGCCCCCACATCTGCTGCCATCACACTCTGTGATGCCATGATCCTCTGTGGGCAGGATCAGACCCAAGGACACGTTTTCCAGTGAGAGATGAAGGTGGGGGCAGGCAAAGGAAACAGCACAAACATCTTCTGCCAGGCATCTGCTCCCTGCCTGGCAAAAACTGCCAACCGAGCACTGTTTGGAAGTGTAGCCTTTCCCGACCTGGCGCTGGGTTATCTTCCACTGTCCTTTTATCCTTGGCTAATTAAAGGCAAATCTCTGCAGAAGGAACACACTTCTTCACATGTGAGCATTAATAACTAGAAAGTGGCTGCGAATGCTCTGAGGCTGCTGCGGAAATCCTGGGCAGAAATAGCATTTTTATCTCACAGCTTTGGCTCCGGGGATAATAAACTTCTGAGGTTTAGAAGGAGGCAACAGCAGATCCAGCCCCATATGGCTTGAGTTTACAAAAGGATCAGCCAAATGGACAGACTTAATTCCTAAGTCATCCCTGGGCAGGACCTTGGGGTGATGCTGAGGTCCCCAAAGTCTCCTTATCCTATGTGGATGCTGCAGGGAATGGCTGCTCACCCCCAGGCGGCCCAAAGAACTTTATTCACAAATGTTTTTGTGTGTTTTCAGTTACCGAAATGCTCTGACGACCTCAGAGATGAAACGAAGTGCCGGGTGTTTGGTATAGCAGAGCATCATTTCGTGGCATCCAGTAAGGCTGGCAAGAGGCAAGCACTGATAGCAACTATTCTTATTCTGATGATGACATTATGTGGCTCTTACAGAGTGCTTTTCATTAGTAGCTCTAAAGTGCTTTGCGAAAGAAGAGATTCAGATGTCTCGAACTGTCTGCAGTGATTTCAGTAGAGGAGCCTGGGTTGGTGCAGAAGCTCTTAGCTCAGTTCTGGTTGCAGAGCAGGGATCTCTGCTCAGCTCCCAACCACCCCCATGGCATTTATTTATTGCTCAGCCTCTGGGAGCCTTCCTGCACGGCACAGCCCCGAGCTGGAACCCTTTTCCATAAATAACTCCTCTGGGAACCCCCCAGCAGTCTCATTCCACCTGCAATAAATGCAACAGGCTGATGGGAAACCCAAAGCTTTTTGCCCATTTGTGCATTTCCTTCAATGCCAGCGCTGCTGTCTGCACTTGGAGCTCATTCTTCTGCTTCCTGCAGCGTGGGGGGGTCAGGCCATGGGAGGCTGCGTTTTGCCACTTGGTTCCTTTAGCACTGGGAAACATCCATGGTTGTTGGCAAGTGTGGACCTCTATCGTGGGCTCCTCCATCAGTGGACATATACGAGGATGCACTCTATGGAAAAACCACATGCAAACGCAACCATTAAATCCCATCCTCCTTGCCTTGCTTCAGCCTGAGTGATGATGCTGCAGCAGGAAAACAACTCAAAGTGGCTCCCAGGTGGGATTTTGCCATGCTGGCCATGGTGGAAGCTGTCCCTGGAAGAAAAGAGGCCCCCAGCAGCTCCAGGAAGAGAAGCAAAGGCATCTTTGACAGCTTTGGTGCTGTGAGGGATGAACGGGATGGCACTGGGATGCTGTGCTGGAGGAAGAGGGTTTTGTGCCCGGCTCCTCTCTGGATTTCTGTGGGGTCTGAGGGGCTCTGCTGTGTGGGCGCAGCTCCCACTGCTCCGTCCTCTCCTCCCCAGCAGCAGCAGCAGAACCGCCGGCTCAGCACAAAGCTGCAGCATCGCAGCTCAAGGATTAGACATTCATTTGCCATAAATAGAAAATTGGGGGAATGTGTTTTAGCGCATTAAATGTATAGAGAGCGGCTGCTGATGCGCAGGAAC